TATTGAAGCATCGAAGCACTGAGGTACGCCGGCCCCGATCAAAATTAATAAATCTATGTCTCGTTCTGAACATACTTCCCTGAATTATTACATGAGTGAGGGCGGGAGGTGAGGGCGGGAAGTAGTGAGGGGCGGGAAGTGAGTGCGGGAAGTAGAGGTGTGTAAATGTGACACTTCCCAACCTTCAATGACGTTAGTAATGACAACATATATGGTTGTAAATAAACATAGTATAAGGTCCGCGGGATGTAGGATCTGTGAGATTATCATGTAATAATATTTTGAGAGTAGCTACTATACATACCAAGTTGGAAGGAACTGATTTCCTCACGGTGAATAGTTCGCATATACACTACAGCATCATATGTAGGCGTTGTGGTGTCAGAAAATCCGTGGAGTTGGATCTCCGAGTAATTTGCTGAGGGATTCAACCATCGCCAGAAAGTTATTTCACACAAATGCGCAATGCCCTTTGAGAACTACTTTCAAGCGTCTATAAAATCTTGAGGCAATTGATCATCCCAATCCAAATAAAATTTCTCTGCCAATTTTTTCTGCATCAGAAGCAATGCTGTTTTGACATATAATCTCAGGAAATTCGAAGGGTCAAACATTTCTGAAGAAGAAGTTATAATTTCGAAAATATATTATGAAAAATGATTTGTTGAAACTTCATTCATGTAGATGAAACTGTCCGAGCCGCAATAAATTCGTGAGCTCTGATGATCACAATGTTCTGAAGTCATCAATGGAGTTTGCTCCTGCTATTATTCAGGATGATCAGTATTTCAGTTCAAAATTTGTTGAAGGAGGTTTGATTTCGATGGGACATGCGAAGGGCTTTCTCTTCGTGATTTCATGTACATCAAACTCTACATCGTATCATGCGACGCTAATTCTTTCATTGAATAATAATCAATCAGTATGAACAAAAGGTATTTTGGCTGTTACGTGGGACAGAAACGGCCGATTCTGATGCGGTTGATTCCATTCTTCTACTCATTAGTTGTACTTCAACTCAACATAACTTCAGGTGATCACCATTCGTTTATTGATCTTCATTCATTATCATAAACAATTTGGGCGTTTATTCATCGGAATGATAAAGGCGTTTTTCTCGTGATTGGAGGTGGAGTTGGTCCAGGATCACTATATAATAAGAGTTTTGCGGACTCTAATTTGTCAATTGACTTCCGAATGATTTAATAATTAGTACAGACAAATTGGGCCTGCCCTATGAGACACGAACTAGAAACGTCTTTTTGTCATGAAGTCAATATGACATTCTGCTAGTAATTCAAGCTAACACCTAGTATGAAACCAGTATGGGTTGAGTGTTCATTATTTTCAATTGATTATGAATAAACCAAACGTGCTATTCGGGGCCAGAACTCATAACGAGAGATTTCTATGAAAAAATCTCATATTTTATCAACGTCATTATTTTTCATGATGAAATTAATGATAGGTAATGACTATTATATATCCGCTGCTTTTTGCTAATTCACTTTTTGAACAATGGGTTTATCATATTTAATCTTGGACGTTATATTGGGACAACCCACTTTTCGGACAACTTCATGCTGATGATGAGACACAACTTTTTTCGCAATTGCAGAAGTGGGTCTTGAGATTATTTTGGGGTTCTGTATCTTGGGTCATTGCCACTAGCATTGAACGATCGTTTTCTTCAATTTCTGCTATCTATTTACAAATTATTGGGAATTATTTTGCACGTGCTCTGTATTCTACTGTAGTATGGAAAGCATTAGATAGCGTGCGCTTCTATGAACCCTTACGCGTTACAGACTGGTGTGTGTCTGCAATGAACTGTGGTACGGAGTCGGAGTGCCAATATCCGCGGTAATGAACTACGAACCCACGTGCATCCGAGAGCATCTGAGCTCTGTACTGCACATGGGTTCGAAAATACGCGTTCCGACCACAGTTATAACATTTGATGCATTAATCGAGTGAAAATCAATAGACAAAAGGAGATCGTCTCAGTGATCTTGGGCCACCTCCACCTCCATTCACGAGAAGAACATCGCTTAGCGTGTGAAAATCCGCCTCTTAGTCCGATCACAGATGAAACGACTAATTTGTTTATAATACTGAATGAAAATATATAAACGAATGAAGATTTTTGGATGTATGAAAAATCGATATTCATCATAAAAGGCGTGGAAAGAAATTCTGAATTGAGAAAACCTAATCAAGAATCGCGATTGAGGTCGATAAAAATAACAAGTTTCCATCGTTCAAGTTTGAACCCCTTGATTGGGTGAAAGTGTTGAAACTATATATTCTCAGATATATTTATGAACAATAACAATGGATTAGAAGAAATACATTGAGGATTCGCATTCTCCATTTGATGAAAATATCAATTCTTTCTCGGTTTATTCAACAGAAAACAACTACTTTCCTGGCTATTTGCCACGTCGAACATTGGATTATATATGTTGAATATCCAAAAAAGAGCATGAAAAATCGAAATCCTCTGAAATTGAGAATTGACATTATCTCTCAAATCGAATAGAATAATATGATGTATTATGATATAAAAATATAACTTATCAATATGTTCAGTATTGAAATGAAAATTGAAATGTTTAGGAGAAATATACTTGTATGAACTCTGATCTTGATGAGCTTGGAACTTCCAAAAAAATCATTCCTATCAATGATATGGGAATTATATCTCTCACAAACAGGTTATATGACTTCACTCGAGTAAAACTCATTTCGGATATCATATCCTCATCAGGGACCTGAAGTCCAGTTATTCATTTAGCGATTTCTTAGGTTCGGCGCAATATTCATCTAACATTATAAGGAGATGAAAATTGTGTATATGGTGGAAAATGGTTGAAAAAATAACTGGGCTTTTTCAGCGAATTCTCAGGTCTGGCCTTATATCCGTCGAACATGCATTGATAGACTATAGGTACTGCGCGACACAGGGTATCGGGCCACCCCTGTAACTTCTGCATTCGTGGAAGCATTTTTCTGAAATTTCGTACGGTTTCATAAGCAAACATTGCCGATTTGATCACATCACATACAATTCAATATGGCGGACTCCCGTTTTTTTTCTCCGTTAATGCCAGGAACTTTGTTTTTTCAAATGGGATACCCTGTATTTTTTTACATATTCTAGTTCAACAGGTCGAAATGAGTGCAAGCTCTATGTCAAATAAAATTTTTCCAGAAATGTTGAAATTGAATTTGTTATATTATTTCTTCTCGTTGATAAATGCCATGTGGTCAAATCTATCTTGAGTTCCACATACTAGAGGAAAATTCTTTTTTCTGGAGAGATATTTTTTGTGATACTCTTATCGATGAGTATCATTTCAGTCACATCACATTTTGATGAAAAACTATATTTTCCTTCAATGGAACTCCTATTGGCCACCTACATATCTATATACAGTGTGGAAAAACATGACATAACGTTTTTGTATTTCGGTGCAGTAACAAATTGTACACATTCAGAAATCAACAACTAGTTTCATGAATTTTCCTGCATTTCGAATATCTCTTCAAGTATAATGTAAGAAACAACTCTTTTTCTTGAATTTTGTCATTAGATTCTACGGTTGAATTTGAATGTATAAAAATATACAGGGTGTTCCATTTGAAAAAACGAAGTTGCTGGCATATCCAGAAAATCTGAAAATTTGCCATATCAAATTGTAATGTCATCAAATTCGAAATTATTGCTCTCATGACTGTACCAAATTTCAAAGAAATCCATCCACGAATGCAGAAGTTTCGGAGGGAGGCCAATACCCTGTGTGACCCGGAATATATCATTGAGACAGCATCAATCCAATTGAGCTCTAGAAGCTGAAGGGTGACGTTGCGAATTTTCTTGGGCTCATTGAACTAAACAGTTTGTAGCGAGATAAGGGGGTAGATTTCCTACCACAAGTCACTGTTACTGAAGCTCATATATTTAAATCGATCATTCGCATCGTCTCTCCATGAGATATTCTGTAGATGTACAAATTCAGGATCAATTTCCATTTCTTGATACATTTTTCGAACATCTACAGCTGATTTATATTGGAAAATGCGAAATCTACAGATTTTATCGAACATTCCAGATGGTTCTACTAGTTGACGATTTCATTGAAGCATCCAATACAAGTCGAAGTTTTGTCGTTAAAGTTTCATGGCCTATATAAAATGCAATTTATTCACCGTGTTCCAGAGTAGGTAATATAATATGCATCTGAGAATTCATTATAGCGCAAGAATAAATGTTTGTTCTGAGGAACATTCTTCCAAGAGTAAAGAAACGTTGAGCTGCGAAATGTCATGAATCACCAAGGAGTGAAACATCGCTCTCGTATTTGAAAGGCGAATTAACTTGGGAAGATCCATCTGCCGAATGCTTTGTCGTTGAACAAAAAATACTTTCACACATATTCTTTTTTTTTGCTTCAGCTAATTTTTATGATATTTCATTTCACAGAACAAACATCTTTGAGATTTTGGTGAGGTGTATTGTATATGATTTGAGATGGGTTTATTTCCATTCGCAATATGAGAATACCGAATAAACTTAGGTTTCAATGCGACAATAGAAATATTTGATCATGCTTTCATTGTGCAAAGTGCAGCGTTTTTCTAAGATATTGAGAAAATCTTCTAGATTGCGGACTCGATTGAGATATCAAGTGTAGATTCTCTACTGAAACCCCTAGTGTTTTTAACGACTTCAAACTTCTTTCTGTCTGGGTGACAAATCGTGCTTATGAATCATTATCATTTTTGGTTATTTGGCAGAGGATCCTCCGATCGTTATTCTATATGAGCGATTATAATCAAAAAAAAATTATCGAACCGTAATTATCATCACTGATAGACGAATTGTTGAAATGAAATCCAGTGGTTCATTTCTGGGGACGTATCAAAAATACATGAACTCCTGAACATTATATTCAACTGAGGGTTATTATATATCAATGCCAAGAATTAGCCTAAGAATGCAGAACATTTCTCAGTTCTTCCTGCATAGACAGGTATTAGTGAACTAGGTAATATCACGAGAACAAGACGTGTTGAAAAAACATGTTCGTCCGTTTTCACTGACAGAAATCTCATTGTCCCATCTGTATAATTCTTACCGCAAACACAAACAATGTACGTGTATTCAACATTTCGTTGAATGTTCTTGATTTTTTTATTTCGTTTGAGTAATACACCATCAACATGAATTATCCTTCATTTTTATGTTTAAAACGAGAATTGATTCGTTTCAGAGACGGCCAAAGATTAGTAGAATTGCATACTTCTTGAATAAATCTATTTATATCTTTCTTCATGTTAGAACATCCACTGACCAGCGATTGAATTTTTCACTTGGGTTTCTGGAACAAAAATGAACGCAGTGATATTCTGTCCTTACTACAGATGTATTGAAATATCACTGATACTCACATTTATTGGAACGAGGTGAAAACCAACGGAAATCTAGACGAATGAATACTCGCCTAAGATCATTAAGTCGACTTTGCTGATAAATCACTTGCAATTATTAGGTATTGAGCCTTGCTGCCACTAGCGATCGCAACTGTATATTGCAAACGATGTTTCTGTAGTAGATATATGAATGACTTTGCTTACGCTAGTGAGTGCATCTAATGATAGGAGTATGGCAATTTTATAATAATATTTTTATAATCATTGTGGGTGTTCATATAGATGAATACATGATCTTCTTGCTGTAGATATTCAATGATTTTCTAGGATTGTTGTCATGAAAATGGTCGAAATTTTTACTGAAACCCAATTTCAGTTACTATAATTTCCATCCTCGTGTTTGGTATGAATAGCAATTTATTGATTCCTATAACGAAAATTGCGAACCAAATGATCTTTGAAATTCAATAGATCAATTATTGATTTACCCACCCAATTTGACAATTTTGAAGTTTAATTAAACAAGAATTTGAATGTAAAATATTGATATTTTATACGAACTACACCTTGAATAAACTTACTTTTATCATTCCTTCAATTATCGTAATAACTATAAAGCACTCAGATCTACGAAAGCCATGAAAGGGACACTGCAGATTTTTCCATTCGTGATGATTGAACATGGGATGTAAGATGTCTGACGAATGCTCAAAGAGGGGAGAAATCAGCAAAGTATCGCAAAACGATAAGAAGGCGCTGAAAAACCCCAAGAAGATTCGTTAAATACCTGACAGTTGTATTATTGGTAGTTAGTGTAGTTTTATGCGATGAACCTTGCAGCCATATACATATAACTCACTAGTAGTAATTCAGCTTACAGAAAAGTCGTTATTGCTATCATAGGATCTCAATGTGCTGCTCCTTTTCGCAAATGTGTAACGGTAATAGGATTTCTTGTGAGGGGAGCAAGAAATCACTCTGCAAAAACTCTGATAGCACACTATATCGATGACTGAAAACTTTGGAACGATAATACACTACACACAGTTTCACCACTAATCGATTTGGTTAGTATGGTGCAATAGTGTGTAGTGTCTAATAGCACAATTTTCCTCAGTGCGAAATCACTCTATTTTCCATATACAGTGTACCCAAATTCAATCAACCTGGGCATGTTTGGAATTCCTTACTAAAAATCTACTGGTCGTGATCGTCAGTTCATACCGCATACTTACCAACTCAAGCTCGAGAGAGCATTGAAATACTCAGATTATTGGCTCACAACAGCGATTCAAAATCTCTATCAGTTTTCCATTCATTCAATTTGGGAACCAAAAATGCCACCTTCAAACTATAATCTTAAGTGATATCTCCAATTAACAAATGAGAATTTTTGATCATTTTTCTGCGCTAGTCATATAAAATCAACCAAATTTAGTAATTCGAGTAGAACAATCAACTTAATTGAAGTGTCATTATATTTTCATCAAAAACTAAGGTGGTGTAGATATGAAGAGGAAATTCATCAAATGTACTGCAAGAACGACAAGTCACATTATTATTCATTGAAATTCGACCCAACGACATCTCTGAAATGAATGTATCAATAGTGAATTGTTATCTCGGAGAGTTGATTCATTCAATTCAATATTATCATACCTTCATATTATATTGAGTTAATTTAAAAAATAATAGTATAAAATTGAATGGAATACCAAATTAACTTCGAATAATCCCATGATATTTTGATTTGTAATCGATGCTCTTCAATGTGAATGAGCAATGAAAGAATATGTCGAACCATCATGTTTCTTGAGTTTAACCCATTAGTGCATGAAGTTACTTTTTTTCATATCTCTATATTCTGAAGATGTTTACTCATTCAAATATACCCAAAGAATGATAACTCATGACAAATAACTTTTTTTTACAACAGATTTTTTTTATATGACACGTCCATTTTAATGGACTCTATGCAAATTGGTTCATTGATGAAAGTAATCAGTAGGGAATTTCAGTATTCATTTTTATTCAAGTACATATCCAGAACATGAAAAATGATAATAATAATGAAAATTATACATCATGATGACTTGATACATTTTGAAGCATCTCTCAGATGCAGTCCTATTTTACATATAAAATAGCAATTTTGTCTCTACTGAATGGAATTCAGCTGATGGGTATATGGAAATGCATCATATCAAGAAAATATTTTGGATGATACTTCCAGAGCTTTTTTCGGTGCTCCTCACACGATCCAGTGGAAGGAAATGTGAACCCGCTGAAGAAAAAGAGGAGTCGAACGAGTAGATGGAGTCGTGTCTATAGTTGACGTGCTGCAGTATAACGTACAATCATTTGATACTATGATATTCCTTTTCATAATGCAAATATGTATATTATTTTCAATTTCATCAAAATCAGGATCAGAATAACGAAAGTCGCACGGCTGTTTGATAATTAATTTAGAAATATGATTTATCATGGATTCGCAGTTTCTAAATTCGAATAACTGCATTTCTGCCAACTTTTCTTCTGAAGGCAATATAATATATGATCATCTGTTGGTTGATCGATATCTGAGCCATTTTCCATATGTCTAAGAGGTCTTGCAAGAATGATCTACAAAAATATCTTGATGACCGATATGCATAGAGTCCATTATGATGGACACGACACAAAAGCAATATTTTGAGTGTCTTACAAAAAAAATAATTATTCGAATTACCTTATAGGTTCATAAACACATGCATATAATGAGATCTTGAGGGATAGGAAATTCTGAAACTTATTATACTCCGTTATAATAAATACTTACCCTCCTTGTCGGGTGCAATACAAATTGTTATCCATTTGATCACGTGCAGAATATTGTCCAGATACAAATTCATGAAATAGAAGCGATAGCTGTTTGTAGTTTGAACTACACTTATAGTTCTGGCGCATGAAACATTCAATTCCTGCATGATTGACGTCACAAAAAATTAGACAAGGAGCGTCCATTATAAGACACATTATGCACTAATGGGTTAACTGAACTTATATCGAATTATGTTCTACCAATAACCAAACATATACCTACTACGTGGAAGACCCTAACAGCGCAGGCATGGGTGGTATGAATTAATATGAGGTACCTGCAAGGTTACTAGAAGTATCAGCATTTTCTCGTAAATACTCCAAAACTAAGAAGAACCCACATCTCTTGTATTTTCTCTGGAAGCTAGTTTAATAAGCAACACTCTCGTGAAAATGACTGAAGTATTTACTATACTTTGAAGTACCGACCTCCTACAGGAGATCCTTCGAATCGAGAAGAAATTGTAGTATTTGATAGATGTACGCAAAGTTGGTCTGATTCACTGGGCATTATACGGTTATTTTCGTTTGATAATGGATGGAATACGTAGAAGAAGAGAATCATACAGTGCAAGACGACATGTCAATGATGATATTTCAATTCCATGTCCATTTTTGTCGAGGCCGCGAAGATGGAAATCAAATGTGCCAAACTGACGAGTTAGCTGCGACGATGGCTTCGACTCGAAGCGTTCTGCAACGCATATGTTGAAGCATATGCTAATCAAAAATAAATACAATAAATAGTATAGTGAATACTTCGACGTTGAGCAAATACTACCGAAACCGACTAGCTGCTTCCTGGTGGAGTAACACTTCGAAGTAGATTCTTCAATTTGTGGTATTAGCATTCACTTCGTTTTTATTCTATTTATCTATTCACTACTCGTCTGTCCTGTTTGTGTTCAATATCGTGTTAATCCTAATCTCAAATTGCTAAACTATTCGAAGGGCTTTATGGGATAGAGTTATGCATAAGGATAACTCTAAATAAGGATAATAGACCTATCTGTATAGTTCAACTAACACTGTCAATTGTCATTGGCATACTGAAACTTTGAAACGCATATTGATTTCGATCAAGAGATAGACTGCCAAGTACAATTATTCAAGAATAACGCTTCCAACTAGGTATATGCGTTCATATATAAAATCATATATACAGGGTGTCCTGTGAAATAACCTCGAAGGATTTCAACCACAGATCTCAGGAACAAAAATAGTGAAAAAATATCATATGAACATAGGTGTAGAAAAAATGCCCCCCTAGGCAAATATCTAGAGAGAGCCATGAGATTATGGTTTCTGTGAATATTTTGGAAATATAATTGATAAAAGAAGGGCATTTTGTACATGCTGCTCACTTTTTATGTCCAATTTGAAAATGTTGAAAATTTTCCGAAATTTTGATTTGGGGCGTGAAAAACAAAAGTGGAGCTAGGGACATTTCCCACCCAGTTTTCCTGTCAATGTAATTTCCGGTTGTTTGACAAGGAAATATAACAATAACATCATTTGTACTTGAGAATATTACTCCTGTTCAGTTGCAAAACCACTCATTCACCATTCTCGAGATGAATCAATTTCAAAAGTCTGCTGCCTGAAAAGATCAGTATATTTTTTTCAATAGGGTCGTACCTAATTTTTCGATTTATTCATCTCATTGCACTCCCCATATTTTGAATAAAAAAAGTGGATGTTGAAAGAAGGAAGGGGTGTTTGCCATCAAACCATAATCATTCGAACAAGGGGTACCTACCCTTTCGAAAAAAAGCATTATTTCTAGTACGCAGCTGAATTTTGAAATCGATTTATCTCGAAAATAATTAATGCAATCGAAACCAAACAATAGTGCGATTTTCAAGTGAAAATATCGAGATTTCCATATTCACTGATGATTGATATGCCACAAATTTCGTAAACAAAAAGAGTTTGAAGAAAAAGTGGCCCAAGCTCAACCTGTTTCCCACGCTTCCCTATGAGAAATTCGGAAAATTCTCAACTTCTTCAAATCGGGCTCAAAATGTTAGAAATATGAACGAAATTTGATTATTTTTCAACAAAGGATTTTGAGAATATTTATATGTATAATATCATCATTTTGGGCTCTCCTTTATAAGCTATAAGCCTGTCAGGTGGATTTGTGAGCCCTTGTTTATGAAGAATTTCCAAACTATTTCTGTTTCTTGAATCTGTGCAACTCTGTGCAAACTCTGCATGTTCCAGTATATTACGAACATCCCTGAATTATTACATGAGTGAGGGCGGGAAGTAGAGGTGTGTAATGTGACACTTTCCAACCTTCAATGACGTTACGTTCATTACATATATGGTTGTAAATGAATACAATTATCAGATATCATTTTTTTCCAGTCATATGTCAAACATATGAATTGTACCCAAGAGTAAAGTACCCCTATATTTGACACACTGCGTATCCCACTAAACAAATTTGATATCTGATGATTGTATTCCAGATCGAGTAATATGCAGAACTTTTCATAAAGAATAACTAGTTTTCCCAAAATAAATAATAGATAGTTTTACACATGGTTTCAACTTGAAGTGAGATATACTGTATATAGTATATATCATGAGAGCAGATAGGTTCCTTCGCCTTTGCTATGCGTCGGGCATCGAACTCCACACAAATATTGAATATAATTTAAGGAACACAAACCTATATAAGATAATTCATCAACACTCTCCTGATATAAGAAATGTAAACAATGTACTCCTGTTTAATATTATCTTGATCTCAGATTATTGATACACTCGTATTGTACCTACCCCTTCGAATATCATGCTAAAATGATTTTTCATTGCCTTATGTAACTAAAATATACTATTTTCATTGTTTTATAGGCTCCTCAACCTGCCGAACCTTGGGATGGCGTTAGAGATGGAACTAAAGAGGGCTATGAATGTCCGTCGATAGATTTGTATTTCAAATACCACATTGGACATGAAGACAACTGCTTGAATCTGAACATATATACCAAAGAAGTGAGTATTCTGAACCAATGATTATCGATTATTCGGATTCTGCTTGAAAATTAGCACTCTTATCATGAAGGATTCCAACAGTAACTGACCGACGTCCGAATAATCCAGGGTATTGCATACTCCACTCTGCAATATTCTGAATTATTTGGTTGACAAGATGAGAAACATAAATCATTTCGCACTTGCCAGTTGGAATTAAACAACCTTGCCTCTGTACCAGATTCTGCATGCCAATCAGAAAGAAGTATACTGACACTTCAAGTACAAAAAAGGGCATTTTATAATGATGCTTATGCACTAGCGGGCGGTGAAGGGCACAACATCGCTCAGATTCGCGGGCGTATAGCGGCACTTTACCGCCCGCGGGCCCATTATTGCCCACGAGCTATAAAGTGTACTTTACCGCCCGCTGTTCTCAAGTCCCTTATATCCACCCATCCATTTGTGGAATACCCATATTTGAACTCTCAGCTGATTCTATCGTTATGATTATGATACATGTTATATTGTTCATCCGATTCCATCTTTGCTATAACTTCCTTCTTTGAATAGTTGCTTTCTGGCTGACTGAAGTTTTTAGCCAAAAGATGACAATTTCAGCTTGTTTTCTGGATGAATCGCTAGACAGCAACCATCGGATTGATTGACAACGTCAAATTTAGTTAACTATATACTGGGTATACATATTGTTACATCTCAAAGAATGAATCTCTGTTAGTGAACGAAGAGTTTTACTCTCACGATAATTATTGCGAAATTCGTACGGTAATTTTAATATGTAGATTATACTCATAAACATTGCGCTTCTCTTGAAAACTGAATTTTGGAGTAACATATGAATTGTAGTTTGTTGAAATCTAGTGATTACTTGTGACCCGGGAAAAAAACAAGTGCATAAAATTTTGTATGTATCTCGTGCGTAAAATAAGTTTATAGCCTTCGGCGTGTAATGGCCCTCGGCTAACGCCATTGGGCCATTATTCAGGACGCGCAGGCCGTGAACGCCTACTTTACGCGCTTGATACATAAATAACTATCGAAATGGAATAGGATAGACATAATGAAGCGTTTCCTGTGAAATCCACTCAAAACAAAAACAAAACTGAATACATACAGTAGCATGTTCATCGAAGGAGTATAATGTTCACTAATTTTGGCTTCCGTTTCATCACTAGCAGTACCTTTTTTCTCCCTCGAAATATGTCGAAGAGCTCCCTACCAAAACTCGTTCTTCAGACAAAGCTTCGTAATTTTCTGCACAGACGAGTCTTTCAAAAAACCTTCAGGATTGGAGGCAATATACTATCACTGCGTTAGAAAAATGTTCATTTATTTACAGGGTGTCCTATGGAGAACGAAAAAAAATTACGCGATGTGTAAAGGTCATCAAGTTTATTCTGAGAATACATAATATTTGTAGTGTCTTACAAGTTCAATATTGGAGATATAGGGTGATGTTCAATCAATTGAGCCCATTTTTTGAGAGGACATTTTTAATGAGTCAGCTGAAATATGTCTTCGGAATTTGTTACACAAGTTTTCTGTCTTCTACCCAAGCAACTCGCCAATCAGTCAAGAGAAAAATATGGGTCTGGATTGACGAAATTGTATTTCATTTCTGAGCCCCAAATGGAACCCCCTGTAATTGAGAATTTACGAAATCCGCTTACATATTCCAGAACTACACAAACAATAAATCAAATCATGTATTTTGCATTCTCGCGCATGCCCCGCGCCAACATTCGCATGGGTACATGCACAAATAACTATTAGCTGTTATACGAAACTGTATAATCGTCAAAAAGATTTCTGAATTGAATAGGCGCCAGTACAGTTTCATTTTCACTGTAATCAAGTCCATCATTTCAAAGAAATCATATGACTGTGAAACAACACCTATATGAGAATGCAATAACACTCATTCAGGGGTCAAATGATAAGCATTTCAATATTGACTAGTGATATTATGAAAATGAAATAATACTCATATCAATATAATTTGCTTCCAATTTGATAGTCGAATGATTGGCATTTCAGGATTACGGTGATACATTATTTTTTCCAGAAAAATTGAGGGTGTTGAAGATAGTCGAGAAATATTGGAGACATATCTACTTAGTATATACAGGGTGCTGCATCTCACCTTCCATCTTCTATAGCTCAGTTATCAGTTGAGTCAGAATTTTGATACTTTGCAGACTCCAATTGTGTCATATAGGGCACATACCAGAGGAATAAATTCGATTATACAGGGTGTCCCAAAAAAGTGTGACGTCATAATGATATATATTTTTTCAAATGGCATGTCATATAGTTTTTTGCACATTTGAGTGCTTCCAGTGGGTACCTACAGACTCCAGGAATTTAATTGAGATCGGTTCAGTGTTATTCACGTAAAAAACCTATAACAAGAAATTTCAGTTTTGCACCACTGGTCATAAACATTGGTAACAAAAAAGTGAGTACCTGGTCAATAAAATCATGCATACATACCAAATAATGCCAAAGAGGACCGCTAACCGAGTTTGTTTGACACGAATCATCACATGGAGTGCAAAATTTGGTGGAAAACTTTAACGACATTCGATGCGTCAATAAGAAATCAACTTTTCATCTCTTTAAAACCCTATCGTGATTCTCATCGTATCAAAAGTTATTCGCCGAAAACTCGTTTCATCAACTATTCTAACAGTCATTTGAAAGAATAAGAAACGAAGGAAGCTTTGATAAACAATTTCTTGATACAACATATCAGAAAATCGACAAAACTATTTCTCTTAGTCTTATACACTTCATGAAAATAAAAATCACAGTAGTTCTACTAATGAACTTTTCAAAAACAAACAAATAGGAGTATTATCCTTGGTATTACCTAAATATTGGAATGTCTTCTGATCTCTTGGAGGCACAAGTGGATACGATTATGGAATGACCTTGCCACTCTTCGTGTAGGTCGGGTGTGTAATGGTTCGAAATGTGTGAAGGATTATTTGCTGCATAATTCCTGGTTTGATAGGAGAATCTCGAAGAACGATAACCCCAACGATATTTCTCGACGATCTTCAATCCACTTCCTTTCTGTGGAAAAAAAAAATGAATCATCCTAGTACTGAAAGGCCAATCATTTGACTATTGAATTTAGAGCAAATTATATGCATATGAGTATTATATAATTTTTATAATATAATTATTCTATATTGAGATACTAATAATTTGACTTCTATATGAGCGTCATTTCATTCTGATAATAATATAAGTGTTGTTTTATAGTGAGAAGGAATATCTCAATGGACTTGATTCCTTAATGGTTGGTTTTTAGATATCTTGAGGGTGAAATAATAGTTAATTATGAATCAACGGCGTGAAGTAGGTTTTTATGGACCGCAGCGTGTAGGAAAGAGCCCGAGCGATAGCGACGACTATTAATACGCCTTGGTCCATAGAAGCGAATTACGCCAGAAATTCATACAACCTTGTATGCACGACCGTTTTGAGACATTTATTAACTGTCAATATAGAACTGTTTCATGATTTTGAATTCATTTTGGCCAAATTACTCATGCCATTGGCAAAGAAATATCGAATGGTATTCTACTCGAAATTACTGAAAAAACAGTGGAATTACTTTACTGCCCGACAACCTAATTCACCGCCCGCTGTACTACTTCATCGAAATTTTGATGCCAACGTTTCTTCGATTCTTTGACAGAACACTCTGGTGGTATTTTCGAATTTCTCCATGAAACCAATGACCAATGACTTTGTGATATGACCTATTCTTTTGATCACTCAAGATGGAAATGATTAAAAAATAGGGATTACAAAAACGTGTTATGTTGACAACTACCCTTTTTCGAATGATGAACAATGCTGGACAATACAGTGCAAAAACCCGTCAAATCCAGTACTTTATTGATACATGCGAAAAGTTGAAGTGCTCCTACGGAGCTATTTCATGCTTTGAAAGATGCAGAACTCGAAATTGTGCCTGAATGTGGCCTAAACCCATTTCACCAAAAAAATTTACTTGACTGGTTTATGCACTGGACCCCCAAATTTTCAATATCTACAAATTATGCATCAGTTCATCGCTGCAGTAGTAGTATTGAATAATCATTGAATAAAGAGATGGCTCACATCAGAACAACGATTCCAATTCGTCGAGTTTTCCTGAACGTTTTTTACATCAAGCCGTCATCAGGAAAAATTTCAGCTTGGCGCCGTAAATGTTCGAGATAATAATAATAATAATAATAATAATAATAATAAATGACTTTATAAAAATCTTCTTGTTTATATTTTGAATAAAATAAAGTTCACCTAAAAATTGTCTTCTCTGAACTCTAGAATAGTTAATTTTGTTCTAGTTGCCAAAAGGAAACAATGCCAGCAAACCTGTCATGGTATTTATCCATGGTGGTGGATTTATGTATGGATCTAATAAGAAAGCCTATGTAGGACCGCATTATTTGATGTGTGATGACATTGTCTTAGTGACAATCAACTACAGATTGGGAGTATTCGGTAAATATATAATATTAAGGTCCTTGAATTTCATCGGTATTCCGATTTTCAACACTAGTGAATCAAATTCTGATCCGGTTCAGATTGCATTCTAATATATTTCAGAATCTAACTACTCGTATTTCTCATGATGGCATTACAATAACCTCTTTAATGTGTTATCTACTTGAATAATGCTGTTATCAATAAGCAAATTGTTATCGGTTTGAACGAATATATTATTTTCATCGGTTATCTCATTTCGAATCTCGAGAGAAAATATACATTGCTCGATCTCTGACGCACTCAATATATCTCATTGTTCTGCTATTGCTTCAATTTAAAATAATAATTGACCTCAATAGACCCGAACAAAACCCACAATATATGAACCAATATCTTACACGTCATACACGATTATCAGTGAGATATCGAAATCACAAGAAGAAATAAACACACAACGTTGGCCAATCACAAAGAAACTCAATCAATCGACGTGTTAATTGCAGCCACCAGCCTTCATGCGACAAAAAAACATAGAATGAAAACTGTCACCTCAGAAATCACACAAAGAAGGGCGAAAAATGCTCGATGCATGATTATACTGGCCCCAAAAATACATGTTGAAATGTAAAAATGTGAAATGCAAAGCAAAATTCAGTTATATGAGACAATCATGAAGACAGCTGAAAGGTTCAATCAAATCACGGGAGGTCTGAAAAACCAAATTATTGTTTCGTGTTTCATTGCTATACATCCGAGAATCAAATTCCGAGATGAACATCATCACTACACGCGAACAGTGACGCGAGCAGAAAGTGAAATACAGAAATCTGATATCACAAAATATTCCATATCGGAGATATTCTTGGCAAAAACAGGTATCCTACATAACATGGACCACCCTCTCTTCTGGTAAACTAGAATATAAACAAAAAATGAGAATAGAAGTTATTTATAGTCATATTACTATATATCTATATGCCTGTGACATACCAAACATACATACAAAATACCCTAAATTTCATAACGTCCTTGAACAGAGCTCAGAAAGTCGAGTTCAATGATATATAATAACTGTCAGAATCTGAAATCACCCGTTTCAGGCTCATTCATGATCTTCTCCAAAGGAGATCCAAATCTCAAAGCCCTATAGAAATGTTGAAAATTTAGTTTCAGATGTCATTAATCAACAAATTCCATATGTTATTTCTTCTGAAAATTTTCGAATGAGATATCTTGTATTTCATTTCATCCTTGAATAGACCTCAAAAAGACGAGTTCAATGATATATAATATAAGATGGGTCTGAGAACACTCGTTTCAAACTTATTGATGATCTTCAATGAGTAGTCAAATTTTTCAAAACCCTCTAAAATCATTCTAGATTGAGTCTATACATGCACGTTTTTTGTTCTGAATCAACAGATGCTGTATCATGAAAACTGATCATTTTCTCGGAATTTCAGAAAAGAACACTCTCAATTACATTTTTTTTTCAACTAACGATCGACGAGATGAGTTCAATGACGTCGAATTGCATGGGTCTGCGATTCCCCGTTTCGGATTCTTTTCCGCTCTTCTTCAAAAAATCGTGAAACTTCATAAAATATATTTAAAAATTAAAAATGGAGTCATAACTAAGGAGAATGGACCTATTCCATGTAAGCCTTTGTATAGTTTAGTGATTTGGAATTAGAAATAACATGTGAGCCATGACAGATTTTAAATGCTGGGTTGGTGCCTTCAACAGTCAGGTGAACATACCAAATATCATACCTAGTATATGAGCAGCTAACACAGCAAAACAGATGTCGAGGCGTTGAAAAATCGGTCTGGCTAGTGGTAAGTGTAGTGTGATGAAGATAATAGACAGAAATTTGAATCGTTGAAATGAACATTACGCATTAGAAAGTATACCGACAATGGTGTTAGAGGGCCTATGAAGTTTGAACGTTAATAATGCCAAAACGGGAAATCACAGACCCATGCAATTAAACATCATTGAACTCTTCTTGTCGACCTCGAATCAAAAATGATAATATGATAGAGGGTTTCTTCCTGACATTTTTAAAAAATTATTGGTTTTCGAAATACAGCATCACTTTTGGCAAATTCGAGAGATCTGAATTTTGATCTACGATGAAGAGAAGATACAGAGTTTGTTGATTCATAACGAACAACGAGCATAACGAACTCAATCCTCAACGTATTTGGAGGGTTCTGAAATTTTACTACTTATTGAAGAAAATCTGAATGGATCCAAACCAAGTAAAAATTCCAATACCTACCTCCTGTCCCTATCCTCCCTGGGAACGCACGATGTTCTTTGAACATTATAGGGATTCCCTTTCGTGCGCTCCAAGCGATAAAAAAAAATCTCAGATCCATATTATAATGTATCAATGAATTCGTCTTCCTTAGCTCTATCCAAGGATAAAATGAAATACAGGGTATTCCATTTGACAAAACGTATATTTGCTTTGTCACAGGCATATGGATCATCCTTCATAGTTGAAATTTTCTGAAGAAGAAAGTTCATATGACTATAAATAACTCCGATCCTCAATAATTTTTGTACCTGTTTCAGTTCTCCAGATAAGGAGTGGCCCATATGTTATGTGGGATAACCTGTACTTACAAACTTCACTTAACTTCAGTTATGTCAAAACTGCTGATGTCAAGAATATCTTGCACATTGGATTTTTCTGAATAATTTCTCATTTATTAATGGAATTTCCTATTCCTGGATCAGTAATGGTGCATGGAGTTAGACTTTAGTTTGTTGATCAAATCGATATTGACCATATTCTTCAAGAACGTGATGAGTTTATCACTACTATTGTCTGACAGTTTATTCATGTTGAAGGATCAATTGTGCTTTTTTAATCGATCTGAAATATAGAAAATTGCAACATGATATCAAGGGCGAAACCGCTGATCATCGTAATAATCCACAATATTGAAAAAATATTTTCAGTGACGGGATCAAAATATGACATTTAATCTCTGTTGACAGGTTGAAGAATGTCACTTTTTATATAATTTTTTTTTCCACGTGAAGAACGGAGTTTTTCCTGGATATATACACTGTTGATTGCTTTTGTTGTGCTAGTTTCGAAAAATAAGAAAAAACACCGTCTCTGAGAAAAATTGCAAGTCCTTTAGTCTTTCATTCTGCTTCGCAGTTACTTGAATTATTACATAACCACTAGGTTTGCAATTTTTCGAAAACAAATCACAGAATAAGACTAATAGATATTTGATCACTCCAGTAGAATGATGAAGATGCCTGCAGAAAGATGCCCGCAACACAGGTGTAATTCCTGTCAAAACTTCAAATTTAACGTTAATAATTTCAATATAATGTAATATCTTCCCAGTATTGCTTGGTCCTGAGGAAAAAAAGTGCATTATACACGGAAGAATATCAGATTTCAGCTCTAGTTGAAAGCTAGTACTTGTTTGCCTTGTTCAATACATAAATATATAGTACTTTTCATTTCTTGAATTGACTCGGCCGGTACTTGATGAAAATCCATGCCAAATGTGAAAACTTCACAAACGATAAGATTTCCACATAACTCTCAAACACATGATATGTTTCGCTGATACAGTAGCATCATCAGGTGATATACTGGTATAATAAACTGATGCAATGAAGTTCATTGTACCAGTATATCACCTGACGAATCTATTGTGTTAGCGGAACATGTCCTGTGTTTGGGATTTTTGTGGACATCTCATCGATCTTGAAGTTTTCACATCATTACTTTTCAGGTGAAAAATCGGTGTAATGAGATAGTGCTTTCTTTTCTTCCAGACGCTAGGCGAGTTTACACTAGCGATTAGCGATATCGTTGATGATCATTAACAATGGAAGTGGTTAGTTTATCAGCCAATTGTCTATTGACAGTCTAAAATAGGATAAACGGTTGAGGTTATTGACTATCAATGATCTATTTCTGGTTATACAGCAATCTGTCGTTAATCAAGCGGTATAATTGCATAAATGGCAGGACACGGATTCGTTTATAATCGTCATTCGGCTGCTACCATCGTGAAAAGTTTTTACTCTACACAGTAAAAAAAATAGAGTGAAATTCAACACTATACCTGTTCCCAGGAAGACCACTAAGCTTTAGAGTAAATGATTTCACTCTATAGTTCAGTATATTATAGTGTGATTTTTTCAATTCAATTAGTGTAAATTTTCAATGCAAGCACATTGAAACTTACTCTATTTATTTCTCTAAATATATTGAATAAACACAAGAATAGAGTTGAAAGAAACGATTACGAGAGTGAATATTCCACTCAAGACCCAAGCTAGTGACGATATCATCACTCTAGAGTGAAATTCAATAACCGAATATTACATAGTCACAAAAGTTTAGAGTTGTAATACAATAGTAGAGAGTAGATTTCACACTATGAACAGTGTCGGATCCACCGGAAATTGATTGAATTATTTACTCTACGTGGATGTCAAATTGCTCCTGCATTGTTCAAATTAACACTACTATTTGTTCAGGTGCTAATAAGGAGTTATCATTTATTCATCATTTTAGATTGATAAAGTACACTAGTTGAGTAAACTAGTCACTACTTCCTGTTGAGATTTCTTCCAAGTTAAATTAACCATTGTTCCACATGTCACAGTATTTATAGGCCCCCGACAGACGTTCAGCGGCGAAGTCTCCGCAGCGCCACCTTTATGCAGTGGCGAGAATTGACGGATGAGAAGTAGTGTGACTTTATAATATTTTAATCGTTTGATATTTGAAAAATGACTCGAGTCCCACTAGACTAATTAGTTAACCTATATCTGTTTCATAATTCGTTCGAAATAATAATAATTCGAAACGGAAAAGATGGAAAATAACTGAGATAGGTATACGGAAATACGTTCATAACACAATGTTGAAAAAAATTTCTCACTACGCGGGTATAGTAAAAAAGCTACTTGAAGCTAATATCATGATCATTATATTCTCGACACTATAATCTGTATTACTTATTTCACTATCTAGTAGACTGAACGATCTGAAACTGTATAGATTGATATTTCATCGTATATAGATTGAATTGAACAATGATAGAGTGTCAATTCAAT